GATTAAGTATATGATCAGTTTTGAGTACCACGGAATGTTCTCTATGAACACCGAGCTTTGAACGTTTGAATTTCATTGAATAATGAATGTATAGCATGGCTTTCTCTTCCCAAAAAATGTCGAAATTTAAACGGTTTTAGGATGTGAGTGTGGGTCACCTCTTCGACTTCCCTTCACTCGTCACTGCACTGCAGACAGAATATCACAGAAAGACGACCAAAGATACTTTCTGTCAAATTGTCAGCCTCTTCAATCTTCAAAAGCAATTAGGAATTAGGAATTATGATTTTGACAATGACATTATCTCATAAAAAAGATATTTGCTTACGCTCAAGATGCTTAGCCATGGAATTTAGTTATAGATTGAAACAGGTAAGTAGTACACACTTCAAAATCGACATTAGAAAACAAAATTCTATCTGCTTCCAGGAAGATATCAAAACTAAAATCTGAGCTCTTTTCTTTACCTATTTTCTGCTTCAAGTTTTGAGATCATGAGTTTTTTTTCTTCACTTTGATGATTAGTACATCCTCGGCGAGATTGATGTTGATTGAAGGAAAACTTTACTTGTGGTTGAATCCCAGTTGGATTTGATTTTTGTTTTTCATCAATTAATGTAAGTTGTTTAGTGTATAAAGCTATTTGTTTATGTTCATCAATATCAATTTTATTTGAATTGTTTTTATTGTTGTTTATTGATATTGGTTCATTACTTCTAATAAAGAATTCTCGTGACAATTGTTGTTCTTGATCAATTGTTAACGAATTTAAGTATTGATTATGTTTTTCATTTTTTGGTACACATTGAAAAGATCTATCCAAACAAAAAAAGATAAAGTATATGTAACAAAATTTTCCTTTTTTCAAATTACTTTCGAATAGAATGCCGAATATCTTTATTGGGTGATATAAAATATGTATATTCTTTCATTTCATGTGTTGATAAATGTCGACCAGAAGTTCTTCCACGCCAAAAACAATCTTGACATAATTGATATGTTCCATTATGACATTGTTGACATTTATAACGAAAACCAGAAAATGATGGACGTTGACATGCTGCACATTTTACACGATGAATGACTTTAAAGAAAAATGAAATGAAGGGTTTTTTTAAAAGATTCTGCTCAGTTCGCTTTTTTTCAACAGATAGTTGAAATTCAGGTCAAAATGTAGTAGAAAATAAAACATCATTGCAGAATAGGCACAAAAAAGAAAAGCTTACCATTTTCAACACTTATTAAACGATGAAATAGAACAAGCCATTGTAAACAAATGGGTGTTCTATTACTATTAATTAATAAATCAAGAAAATCATCAAGAGTAATTGGTGATGATAAATGTGAAAATATTGATCGAGCATAGGTTTTACTATACGTTGAGTATGAAATTTCTTGTAAAGCATATGGTAATGCAAGAATTTCATGTAAAAGTTCATCTACTTGATCATACGTTAATGTATTGAATGATGACGATGTTGCAGATAGACTAGATGTAAATAAATGACGCATTTTATCGATTAATTTACCAGTACATAAAAGTATAAGTACAATACGAAATGAACTAAAACGTATTGAAAATTTATCACTATTATAAACATATAAAAACCATGCTATAGCTGAATTAACACATTGATTTATATGAAGAATTTGTCGTGATAATGGTAAACGTTTATTTAAATTAGTATAGATTGATGTAAGAAATATTGTTAAATGATTGATTGAAAGAAATTTATTATTATTATTTGATAAACGAGAGTGAATTTGTTTTGATTCACGAAGATTAATTGAAGTTACAGTATTTGAATTAGTTTCGAAAGATAAACTTGTCAAACATTCTCGAAGAGATTCAATTACATTTAATAAATCGAGAAGATGAACTAGAATAAATATAAATTAGTGTATATACATAAAGATTTTCCTGTTCATTTTTATGATATTTTTGCTTCTATATCATTCAAATGTTGATGAGCTTTTTTTTAACCACTATTACGATATAATCCTACAATAGTAAATATTCTACTATATCGAGAATATGTCCTTATATGCAGAATCTTTTGAGATAACAGTCGAATAAAAACAAACTCACAATTAAGTTTCTTTTGAATAAAACGTAATTTACATGCTGTCCGATATGTTGAAAATCGAATAATATCAAAATTTTGAGCACCTATCAATGAACAAATTTACTAATTAATTAAATAATGAATAGTAAAACATACGCAATTCCATTTGTAATTGTTGTAATTCATTACTGAAGCTTGTATTCATATTTCACGTGTTTGATATGATATATGAGAAGCGAATTTGTCCTATCCTAATTTGATTCGAAAGAAGCAAACAGTTATTATGAACAAATGAATGAACAAGAAAAATATCTCAAAAGAAAGCAAATGTATCCATTGGTTAATGACACTATCTACTTTGTTCAGCTATGAGAAGAAGATGGCGCTAGATTTTACCAAATGAAATGAAAGGAACCTAGACAAATTTCACATATCACCCCAGAGCGGTTCTGAAGGAAATGTATTCGGCCAAAAATAATTGTATATTCGTCATCAGCATGATCGATTACCTATATCCCCGTTGAGATCCGAAGAGGGTACTTCTGACCATAAGCAAAAGATTTGGACAAAACCAATGGTTTTTCACCATAGAGAACGAAAAAAAATTCACTCTTCGTACAGGGTTCGAATCTGTGTCTCGTTATCGACGCTTCTATCCACTAAGCTATATGTGAAGTTATTTTCCTCTTTCTTCTCGTGGATATCATTCTTTTTCTATTCTCTCGTCGATAAATTTATATTATACACATTCAACAATAACATCATCTATGATAATCACTGTTGTTTCATCTATATGCAAATACAAAGAATTTCATAGAATGTTATGCTTTTAGATAATATACGTATTTATTTATAACAAAAAAAATCAAAATATATAGGATTAACACATATGCATTTATTAATTCACAATCATGTAAAAACAACAATAAAAAAAATATTTTTAAATCAAATACAAAAAAGATAACAAGAAAATAAAAATGTTTTTTTTTTCATTTTTGTTTATTTATTCATTGATGAATTGCATATTCATTCTCCATAAACTAAAAAAACACAAAAAAGAAATCGATGATTGATATTAAATTAAAAAAAAGAAACTATATCAGTTAAATCATTCAAATAGTTTTAGGAAAATTTTTATCATTTGTTTTTTAAACCTAGTAAATTTTTTCATATTTTATCATTTCAAATAAAAAAAAAACGTGTTAGTGAGAGGAGTGGACCATTTCCCCACTTCAAAGAGAAACAGTTCCACTTCTAGGAGAAATGGTTTAACCTCAAAAATTTAAGCAGAAATTCTTCTTTCAACATCGAATTCCCCTACAATACAAATCAATACTTCAATATATACCACAAGAAACGGTAACTTATTAAGAGGAAATCCTTCATCCATATCTCCAGTTATAAGGAGAAATGGAAATATAGTGTAGAGAAATGGATAATTAATTTTGATCCATTTCTTTAATTATAAAGAGAAATGGATTTATTCAAAGAGAAATCGATTATTTTATT